GTAATAGGCTCACCTATTTAGCCCACAAATAGGGAAAAGTGGGTGTTACATTGTACAGTGGCATAATGTGCACGCCTACCCCTTCGGGAATAAAATGCGTGATGTTATGTTATAATTTTGTATCTGCCTACTACTATCTACAGTGGTAAGCGCAGACTCTTTTGTGAATCATCATCCTCAACAGCCGGAAGACGTCTACTACAGGTCCTCCTTAGTCCCTCTTCTGAATAGAAGGCTCATATTCAACAGTGGGTAGTGACGGGCTATGATGATGGCAAGCTTTGACAATGCTGAATATAGATGACCGAGCTTTTTAGAAAAAAAAAAGAAAACGTATAAAAAAAGAATGAACAAACAATCCTTACTATAATATTATAAATCGGAAAGTGAGTTTGTTTGTTTGTTCCATTTTCACGCCGTAACTACTAAACCGATGGCTTTGAATTTTTGCAGATGTGATGTTAGAAGTCTGGATTAAATAATAGGGTACTTTTTATCCTAGAAAAAATTGATATTCTCGAGGGAAAACGAAATTATTGGTATAGATGGCGCTGTGTGTATTGGTATAAGTCACATAGGCTATTGTGACGCGAGCGAAGCCGCGGATAAAAGCTAGTAAGAAATAAAATAGAACAAAATACATAACTTGGAAAACAGAAGAAATGTAAAAATTTTCGGACCGAGGTTTGAACTCAATTGTCCATATACAACAACTGCTCGTTTAAGGGCCGATTTTTTCAACGCCAGATAAATTTGATCCGAGAAATAACTTTGAATATTTGAGAATTCTTCAAAATCAAAGTCAAAGTCAAAAACATTTATTTCAATTAGACCAGAAAGGCACTTTTGAACGTCAACAATAAAATTAAAAGTAAAGCTATTTGGTCATTCCAAGGTGTAGATTCCTATGGAGAAGAACGAGCAAAGAAACTCCATCGGTTACTGTTTTTCAATCAGGTTCACAATACAATTCTCTAGTTACATAGTTTGCTATTTGGATTGTGCGAGAGAAAATAACCTTAAAGACAATAAATAATACAGTCTGGAGCTGACCAGTCCCAATTGACGGCGCCCGTTCACGAACATGACACGTACACCAGCACCGCCCAACTCAACCATATTGTAGGGAATCGAGCGATCCACTGCATGCGCCACCGCCAATGAGACCTTTGAGTGAGCATGACACACAGCACATCAAAATTGTCAAATGTCTATTAAAATTCTACAGTTGAGAATTAACTGATGATTGAAAAATAAGGTTTATTATCGGCCTAGTAACTTCTGAGCCAAATCAATACAAACAAACAAACATAGGTACAGTGTCTAAATAAATAATGATAATATCAGTCCGTTCGAAGTACACTTCATTCATAAACACTTAAATGTATTGTATGTTAGACCTATATCTACATACTTCGAATCGGCTCATGATTTTGACACAAACCGTTTGGTTAGCGTCCGGCCTTGATCGATTGCGTAACAATATTTGTTTTGGTCGCCAGTCGATCTTTTGTACATGTGTGTGTTATGATCTCGCGAATAGCTGCCTAAATTGTGATAATGACTTTCGATTTTAAGTTTAGAAGCCGTTTCAATTGTTTTATCGTATTCTTATGTGGTTTTATTAATACATTTAATACATGCGTTGACATCTTAGATGCGTAGCCAAATCGAAGTGTTAATGTCGAACAAAGGGTCATGGGTTCGATTCTCATATGGGACTATATAATAATATATACTACAGAAAAGGGATTAAGAATTTGAGGATTATTGGCAATTCAGAGATTAGGGAAATTAGCGAACGGGGGGGGGGGGGGGGAGGCTTATTGGGCCTCCGGTAATCTCACTCACACGACGAAACACAATGCAAGCGTTGTTTAACTCGTCGAGTACCGGTTTTGTAGACACAATTATAGAACAATAGGCTGCGGTCACCGGTGACCGCTTGGTGTTTGACAGTTTAAAGTCGGTTTTCTGCTCGGCCGTGGTATCACTCCGGTCGAGCCGGCCCATTCATGCTGAAGCATGGCTCTCCCACACTTAAATCCAATGCAACTCAGTCTACACATACGCAGCTTAAAAAACATGATGTTATGTTAAACGTATGTTAAGATACTTCAAATTAAACATATCAGTGGTCATTCAATATTGATATTTTTTGTTGATAAATACTTATGTTAGTCGATAAGATAGGAATTGGTGTGTAGGTCGGTTTTAGTAGAGTCTACTACCATGTTTTATTAATAAGCCGGTAAACAGGCCGACTTATCATCTGATGGTAAACAATTGGCGCCGCCCATGGACACCTGGAACACCAGAGGCGTTACAAGTGCGTTACTGGCCCCTTGGGATCAAGAACTTGAGGATTTTTGGGGACTTAGGGATTGGGAAAGGGGGGAGGGGTAATTGGGCCTCCGGTAACCTTACTCACGCGACGAAACACAATGCAAGCGTTATTTCACGTCAGTCTTTAACTGACATTGTAACTTTTAATTTAAAAGACAAATTGAACTCAATGGCGGTCCACCATGTCGTTAGTTGAGAGAATAGTTGAGAATGGGGATTAAGAGATTGAGGATTATTGGGGTTTGGGGAGTTTGGGGAGGGGGTGTAATTAGGCTTCCGGTAACCACACTCACACGACAGAACACAGCTCAAGCGTGATTTCACGTCGATTTTCTGCTCGGCCGTGGTATCACTCCGGTCGAGCCGGCCCATTCGTGCCGAAGCATGGCTCTCCCACACTTGAATAGCGGCGAGGTTATAGACAAACATGTGCTGTTGTGATGTTAATGTTGTTTCCGACATATGGTGACACTTTTGTCATAATATTTTGTCCTATTTGAAATGAATGCGAGAGTTTGTGAGGATATACCAATGTATATTTGTTATTCTTTGGTAGGTATAAATTTCACCTAATGATGAAGTTCATTGATATTGATTGATTGAGCAAATAGCTTCACTTTTAAATTTCTATTGCTGACGTTCAAAAGTGCCTTCCTGGTCTAATTGAAATAAAGACTTTGACTTTGACTTTGACTTTGATAAAGAAAATGAACATATATGAGGGATGCTGCACAAAATTGAGAAAAGCATTATGTCAGACCAATGTCATTCATTTTGTTTAACTCGTCGAGTACCGGTTTTGTAGACACAATTATAGAACAATAGGTTGCGGTCACCGGTGACCGCTTGGTGTTTGACAGTTTAAGTGATGATTATCAATTACCATCATCAATATATGTATATTTCAGTGTATTTTAGCATTCATATTTAAGGAAATAAATATTTTAAATCGTTTTTAAAATAAAATCATACTGAATAGGCAATGGCCTTGTTTAGCAGTAGCAGTATAATATTATTGATATTTATAAACTGAATCAAACGGTATTTGGTCGACATTGAGACAGAGTTTAAACTGATAAAGAACCTAACCAAAACACAAGATAACACACGTTTAATTGTTTGTTTGTTTGTGTTCAATAAAAGATGGAACTACTGGATTAATTTTTTCTTTCATTCACCGTTACTAAGCTATATTTCAGCGAATAACGTAGGGAATCTTCTTAATTAGATATAGATGAAGCCGCAGCGCAGGCGAGACTACTTACAGCCCCAACTAAATTAAGTATTCTAAATACAAAATAATAAATTCAAGTGTGGGAGAGCCATGCTTCGGCGCAAATGGGCCGTCTCGACCGGAGTGATACTTACCACGGCGGAGCAGAAAGCCGATGTGAAACGACGCTTGTGTTACATGGTGTCAGTGAGGTTACCAGAGGACCAATAATCCCTCCCCCTTCCCAAATTTTCCCAATCCCTGAATCCTAACAATCCTCAATTCTCTAATACCCCTGGCTGCCAGTAACGCACTTGTAACGCCTCTGGTGTACCATGGACACCTGTCCATCGACGCTAATGCTAACCATCAGGTGATCTGTTGGCTCGTTTACCCGGCAGCATACCAAAAAAGTCAAAAGTATGTTTTTGATTACCTCTCTACGCCGTTCTATTGGTTGATTTGTTTAGTATTTAGTAGATGATTGGTTTAGTAGATAGTAGTAACACATAGTTTTTTTTTAAGGGGGAAAATCATCGGATGACTTTTCCCGCTTGGGTGAGGCGGGAGGAAGTGTCAGACTCTTACTGACTAAGAACCACCCCGTTCCTTCTCCTGCACGTCGAGCCGGAGCCCCGGTTACCCGTTAGGTTCTCCGCGACTCCGAATACACATAGTTAGGATTAAGGAGAACAGTGAAAGACATCGTTCAGGTAAAATTCACTTATACAAAT